GGTTCTACCCACACAGTGTGGGACTCCAGGGGTGGGGAAAACACCCAAGTGCCGCGAACTACCATGCTGCCAGCCCTGGCCGGGGCATGCCCGACACCTGACATCACCTCAACCGCAGTGAGGGAGTTCACTGGTTCCACAGCAATTATCACATAAACTCAGGATGCAAAGCCTGGCTTTAGGCCACAGGTGAGGAAGGATGTTCCTCCACACAAAACGAACACTTTCCACACAGAACACAACCAGGCCGAGCTAGGGCCCTTCTCCTGGAGAGCCATTGTGCGGAGGAACACTTCTTCATGTGAGCCTCCTCCTGTGGAAAAGTGTGCTGCCTCAGTGATGACTAGGCCAAAGAGCGATGGTACACAGGCAAGTGCGAACAGGCTGAGGGAGCTAAAATTCATATGCAGCACCCAGGCTGAAAACCAGCAGGCTTCTGGGATAGACAGATTGAATGGTATTTTGGGATTGAATACGATTTCGGGAAAGAAAAGGCCTGTCAAATGTCAGTCGGACCCAATTAAAATGAAATATCTCTGTGAGAAGTGATACTCGAATATCAGTTATTTAAAAGTTTTACCCGGCGTGCCTTTCTCAAAAGCAGGACAGCTCATTCCACCCAGGAATAGCTCTATCCTTTTGTTCCCACATCCTAATGTGAAAATGTGCATAAAGCCCAGTGCACTTATGAGAAGAGATTGCCCAAGGGAGAACGGGCAAAAATCCCCAGAGCTGTGCGATGGCAGCTGCCGCCCCTGGGATGCGCCTGCAAAGAGACAATGGCCACAAAGCCGAAAAACAATGCTTCCCCTCCCACCAAAAAAACCCATTAATTAGCAAAGCATCACTAGAGAAGATTGGCTTATCACTAATTGTGTTATCTGCCTGGAATTCTTTCTTACTTAAGTGCAGTTTGGTTTTGCATTGAAATGTTACCTGCCCGCTCTGTCCCTTGAGCTTCACCCCCTTCGTGCCCCACTGTTTACATTTTCCCCACCCCAATGCTCCCTCTAAGCTGTGGAGACTTGTGAGCAAAAATCCTACTTTGTGAGCTACTGGCATTAAAGTTGTGAGCGAACGATTTGGCTACTGCATAAATTAATTTGCTCTGGAGCCGTCCTTCCTGAGCGAAGACAAAAATGTGTGGGCCGGAAGCTAAAACACTGTGAGCTAGCTCACATTAACTCAGCTTAGAGGGAACGCTGCCCCTCCCTGAACACAGGTCTGTCCATCTCTGAGAAGTGCTCAAGAGAAAGCACAGGTCCAACAACCTGTTAGTCACGAGACCTTTTATTTTATTTCGTTAATGACAGACTTATATGACTGATAGGTTTAACAAGGGCTTAGCCAGGGCTCATGGGAGGACTTGGTGCTTTTTATCATCAAAGCCCGTTGACTGAGCAAGGCTCTTTGATTAAACATAGGTGTGCCCGCCTGGGATCAATAATGATCAAAGACGCTCGGCTTTCTTGCAGATCCCAGGGGCGGGAAGGACAACTCTGTGCTTTGAATGCCTTCGAGTGTGTGTGTGTGGGGGGGAAGACCCTGAGACGTTAATCAGTGCTGAGCATCTTCTGTTTGAAGCCAGGATGCATCACAATTGTTCAGGAACAAGTCCGGTTATTCTTGATGGTGGACTAACCAAGACGGGGGAAGAAGAAGAAGAAAGAGGAGGAAGAGACTGGATTTATACCCCGCCCTTCACTACCTGAAGGAGTCTCCCCTTCCCCTCCCCACAACAGACACCCTGTGAAGTAGGTGGGGCTGAGAGAGCTCTCTCGAGGACTGCTCTTGAGAGAGCAGCTCTGAGAGAACTTGTGACTGACCCAAGGTCACACCAGCAGCTGCATGTGGAGGAGTGGGGAATCAAACTTGGTTCTCCCAGATTAGCGTCCACACTCCTAATCACTACACTAAACTGGTTCTCATATTTGAGGACTGGGCTAGACAGAAGACTCTGCAATGGCAAGCACTCTGGGATACACCCCAGAGATCCAATCCAGAGCCACTCTCAACATTTGGTTGCACAAATGAGTGAAGGGAGTGCACTGGAAAAATGCTTTCATCTGAGGAGACGCAGACATTTCATCTGTAATTTATGTCACCAAGTGATGAACCCATGTGAGGCAATGCCAGGGGAAAAAAATAGCAAAGTCCAGGGCTATTGATAGATGGACCGCACGTGACCTCACATGGGAAGTCCGTGCGCTGTGCCCACAGGTAAGCCATCACAAGGCGGGCAGGACTGGGAAGGCTCCCAATCCATGCTCCCGTGAACAAACATTCTTATCTTCACCGGCTGCACACTGGCACCCTTGGGTGGCATCAGGTGCAAAACGTGTTCCTTGGGCCATATTTCCCTTGATACACTCCTGGAAATGCCTGAAGTCACGCTCCCAAGAAAGGGCCTGTTTAAAGTTGCCACTCTCCAGGTGGGCCCTGGAGATCTCCAGAATTTACAACTGATCTCCAGGCGACAGAGATCAGCTCCCCTGGATAAAACGGCTGCTTTGGAGGGCGGACTTGGGGGTTTTCTATGACGCTATATCCTGCTTTGCCCCCCCCCCAGTCTTCACAACCAAATATCCAGTTTCCCCCCCAAAACCCTGCAATTTTATTTACTCACAGCATTATATCCTACTTTCCCACTTTGCTATCCTGCTTTCCCTAATCTGGTTACATCTCAGGAGATGGCTGACGGCCACAATCCTGTTGGGCTGAGGCCCCTGTCAACTCAGCAGGGCTTTCTTCTGAGTAAAGAGAGCCAACGCGGTGTGGAGGGTAAGCGTGTCGGACTAGTATCTGGGGGACAGGGTTCGAATCTCCCTGGGGGACCTTGGCTCAGTCGCCCTTTCTCAGCCTAACCTACTTCACAGGGTTGTTGTGAGGATAAAATAGAGGGGGATGCATGGGGTGGAGAGAGTTGATAAAGATTTTCTGCGTCTCCCAAAAGACTAGAACTTGATGGCATCCAATGAAGCTGATGGGCAGGAGGTTCTGGACGGACAAAAGGAAATACTGCTTTACACAGAGAGGGATTAAAAAGTGGAGTTGGCTGCCAGAGGATGTAGAGATGGCCACAGGAATAAACGGCTTCAAAAGGGGGTTAGATAGATTCGTGGAGGATAGGTCTATCAGTGGCTACTAGCCGTGGTGGCTGAGGGGAACCTCCACATTCAAGAGGCACTAAATGTCTGAATCCCAGAGCCAGGAGGCAGCATCAGGGGAAGGAGTTGGCCTCTCTTCTCTGTTGCTGGCCATCCAGAGGAGTTGGTTGGCCACTGTGTGAGACAGGATGCTGGCCTGATCCAGCAGGGCTCTTCGGATGTTCTGATGAAGGCCTCGTTGTTGGCTGTCCAGAGGAACTGGTTGGCCACATTGTGAGACGGTGGACTGGAAGGACTATTGGTCTGATCCACAGGGCTAGTTCTTAGGAAGGCCTCAGCCTCTGTGCCCTGTTGTTGGACGTCCAGAGGAACTGGCTGGCCACTGTGTGAGACAGGAGGCTGGGCTAGATGGACCACTAGCCTGATCCTGCAGGGCTCTTCTGATGTTCTTAGGAAGGCCTCGGCCTCTGTGCCGTGTTGTTGGCCCTCCAGAGGCACTGGCTGGCCACTATGTGAGACAGGACACTGGACTGGATGGACCACTGGCCTGATCCAGCAGGGCTTTTCTGATGTTCTTAGAAAGGCCTCAGCCTCTATGCCCTGTTGTTGGCCCTCTAGAGGAGCTGGGTGGCCATCCTGTGAGACAGAATGGTGGACTAGATGGACCACTGGTCTGATGTTCTTTGGAAGACCCCGGCCTCTCTGCCCTGCTGTTGGCTGATCAGAGGAACCGGTTGGCCACTGCGTGAGACACGACACTGGACTAGATGGACGGCTGGCCTGCTCCAGCAGGGCTCTTCTTATGTTTTTATGGTATGTTCTTACAATGGCAGCTGCCTCTTGAGTCCCCGTCGGGCCGAAAGGTGGTGGGGGGGGGTGCAAAGGAAGTGAATCAACCGAAGGCCTAGTAGGGGAAGTGAACGTGATGGCGCCCCAGAGCGCCCCAGTCTCTCAGCCGCTCGGCTGCAAGGGCACCCGCTTCGCCCGCTTGGCCATGCGCCTCCAGGCCGGCTGGCTCCGGCGCGGCGGGCCCCGGCTCCTCCCGGCCGGGCGGAGCCAACGCGGGGCGGGGCGAGGAGCCTTTATGCCGAGCGGCGGGGGCGCCCCCTCGGCCCCCCCCTCCGCGCGGCCGGAAGGGCGGCGGAAGGGCGGCGGGAGGGAGCGCCGGCGACCGTCCGCTTCCCCGGCCGAGGCGCCTTTGTTTGCGCGCCTCGCCCTGGCGGCGGGTGGAGGCGGCCTTGCTCGGCGGCGGGTGGAGCTCGCCCGGCGGCGGCGATTCCTCGCTCGGCGGCGCGCGTGGAAGAGAAAGGGAGCCGAGCTCCGGGGCGCTCTCGGCAGCTTGGCTCAGTCCGGGGCGGCTTGTCGTGACGCAGGCGGCAGGGAAGTCCCAACCGTCGCGCCCGCTTCCTGCAGCCTCTCCGGGCGCGGCGGCGTCTCCAGCCCGTCGTGGGGTGAAGCCCCGGTGAGCTGGCTGGCTCCGTGCAGGGAGCAGAGCGGCCAGGTTGGTCAGGCGCCGGGGCTCCCCTCCTCCCGGGCTGCGCCGAGCGTTTGCGGCGACCCGGGATCAGGCCCGGCCCGCCTGCTCTCTTTCTCCACCCAGCCCCGCTCCCGCGGCCCCTTCTCGGCGGACAGAAACCCGCGATCACGATCCGCGCCCTGCGCTTCCCGCCATTGCCTCTAAGAGGCGCTTGCCCCTCTCGTTGGCGGTGCCAGGCCCTGGGTTCCGGTGGCACGAGAAAGGAAGGGAAAGCGGCTCTGTCGGGGGGCGCGCCTTGGAGCGCGGCACGGCCGGGCGCCTCCCCGCGCAGGGCTGGCTCCTCGGACCCGGGTCCGAATGGGCCGCGCGGCTGAGATGCGCTCTTGCCGGGCGGGAGGGATTGGATTGAAGCGGTGCCCGCAGCCTGGGCAGGTCGGAAGTATGGGGCGCATGTGGGGCCTTCGCCTGGCCCTTTCGCATGGGGGAAGCGCTTTGGGTGTGGAAAAGCTCCCCGGGGCTCCTGCTGGGCGCCTGGCGCGGACCGAGGGGGTCAAGTTCCGCCTGGGAAGGGCGAGTGCGGCTTGCTTACCGGGCAGGGCAGGTGGCGGCAGCAGGAGAGGCGGTTGCATAAGTGGGGAGAAGGGCCAGGTGGCCGCTTCCTGCGGCTGTGTCGTAAGAACCCGCCTTGCAAGGCTGGGCCACGGGTTGCCGGGTGCAAGGCCTTCGGGCCTGCCTGGGGGGGATCTTCCATGCAAATCAAAGAATCACAGAGTTGGGAGGGATCTCTAGGGTCATCTAGGCCAACCCCCTGCACGATGCAGGGAATTCACAAATGCCTCCCCTCCCCCAAGCGACCCTTGCTCCAGTTTATGAACTTTCCTTGAGTGTCCTTTTGCTTTGGCTTTTCAAAGTGCGGGGGGGGGGGCGGAGATCTTTTATTCTCCGGGTAGCAGGTGTGACACAGAGTGTTTGACTGGAGGGGCCAGTGGCCGGATCCAACAGGGCTTCTCTTATGTTTTGGCTAAATATGAATTGGCAGACATTCTGGTTCAGATGGAACTAAGTATAAATTAAATATTTATAATGTTAGCAAAACAGAAAGAACGTTTGCCGGGGAAAGCATGTGTAACACACACACACACACACACACTTTTCTCTCCAGCCATGCTTCACATCCTGTCCTTAGCCCATGGAAACACAATAGATTTGTGGCACAACATCCCTGACAACTATAGGCAAACAGTCTCTATTGAGATACTTGGGGTGGAAATTTTTCCATGGAAAAATAACAGCACCTGGAAAATGTTTTTTTTGGGGGGGGGGAATCCACCCCACGGGCTCTAAAGCAGAGCTTTCATGCTCCTTTGGGGACTGGACTGTAGCACATGCAGCATAATGTACTCCCAGTCCACTTTCAATGCACTTTAGGGAATCGTTTGCAAATGGCTGTTGCTGTTTCAATCGTCGTCTCCCCCGCTACAGTTAGCCCCATCCAGAGGAGACCTTATGGAGCTTGGTAGGATTTTTGTCCTTGTAAGGAAGTTGGTGATGGCGGCCTTGGTGTTGCCATTTGCCTGACTGTGACCAGGGAGGTGGGCCTGGGAGCTGGGCCTGGGGCCACTCCTGTTCAGCTCTGTTTGTGTTTTTTTTGGGGGGGAGGTGTTTGGGCTGACCGCAGTGTGGAAACCTGGCTTGGAAAAGGTTGAGAATGTAAGGCGAGGCCTGAAATTGCTCTGCACAGCCCCCGAGGCGCTTTGGATTGTATGTTAACTTCCCTGGGAGTAAAGGCGGGGGGGGGGCTGGGAGGTGAACATTGGCTTGAACTGGCTTTTGCCAGTAACTAGTTCCCGGCAATTGGCTCCGTGTCACGGCTAATGTGGTTTTTAACCTTCTTCGTGACAGAATGGAAAAGGGGGACTGGTCTGGAGGTGTCAGCTCTTCTTCCCTTGGCGCTGTTAAAACAAACAGAGCTGACATTTTGCAGCCAGCGATTCCTGCTTGCTTGCTTAACGCTGGCTTTGTTAAACAAACTGCAGGAGTGTCCCAGGTTCGGCTTGTGTCTGCGGCGGGGGAAAAGGCCATTCCGCTGAACGCATTTCGGCTGCGGGTTTGTGTGTGTGTGTGGAAAACTACTTGAAGTTCTCCCCCCCCCCCTTTGCCCGAGTTAGACATTCAGTTTTGGTGCTTGTATAACTTGCCTGTAGCCGCAAGACGCAACTGGCTGGCACCAAAATGATTCCTTTTCATGCCAGTAGGTCTCCTTTGCTGTCATTGTGGTTGTGGATATTGGCCTGGAGCGCTTACCTTTTTCCTCCCCTCTCTTAAGACTTTGTTTTAAGAAACTGCTTGAAATTGGCTCCTTCCCCCAGGATTTTCCATCTCTGGCCCTTGGTATGTGTTTTGAGCAAGCCTGCACCGGAAGCCTTAATTGCTCATTGTGCTAAATCCATGTCGGATTCTGCTATTCAAGAGTCGTTACATTATATCATAAAAGCCCTGCTGGATTAGGCCAGATGTTAGGGGTGCCGTAGCGCCCACCCTCCAAAGCAGCCATTTTCTCCAGGGAAATTGAGCTCTGCAGTCCAGAGATGATTTGTAAAAGCCCCGATCTCCAGGCCCCACCTGGAAGTTGGCAACTCTCCCAGTGGTCTTCTATAGTCCTATATCCTGTCTTGCATAAGAGCCAACCTTGGTGGGCCGAACAAACAGGGCATAAAGGCCAAAACCCTTCCCCGATACTGCTTCCTGGCCCTGGGTTGCAGAGCTTTACTGCTTCTGAATATTCCTTTTACTCACCATGGCTGGTAGCCACTGGGCTTTTCCATAAATTCTCTGAATCTATGTGATGTTGCAGAAACAATGTGCAAAGGTGTGGAATTTTTTAAAAAGCTTTGGATAGGAACCTTCTAAAAGTCTCATTTAAATCTGTCACATCCAAAGTGGTGTTTCCTCTAAGCTGAGTTAGTGTGAGCTAGCTCACAGATTTTTGTCTTCGCTCAAGAAGGAGGGCTCCAGAGCAAACTAATTTACGCAGTAGCCAAATCACTCACTTGGAACTTTAATGCCAGCAGCTCATGAAGTAGAATTTTTGCTCACAGGACTCCACAGCTTAGAGGGAGCATTGATCCAAAGTACAGTTACAGTGCACATTTCTGGCCGTATGAATATTTTTATCTATCATTTTAGTTATTCCCCCCCACACACACACACACATACCTAGAATCCGCTTTATCTATCATTTCCCCCCCACACACACACAAACATACCTAGAATCCGTGCCCAAGGTCTTTTAGAGTGTCAAACGCTCTCCGTCGGGAAGCCAAGATTTTTCTTGTCCGTGCTGCTGGTAGTGAAAACGTGCTCCTGTGTTCCCTGCACATCTGGCACGTAAGCAGTTGATTTTTCTTTGGGAGCAGCCGTTTTATTACTGATTTTTAATTGGCTGGGATGGGTTTCGCTCTTCACTTCTTTGACGGTGTCAGAATGGCATCTTGTCTCCAAAGTGTAGTGGGAAATACTTTTTTGCACACTTGACAGTCTGTTCTTTCCCCTCGCCATTGTAACTTTTTTCCCTCATCTCCTCCAAAGTACCTTTCCCCCTCCACCATAGAGAGCAATGGAGGGGATGGGGGCAACCTGTTTGGGGGCCCGTAGAATTGGGCCCCCAAGTCCAATGTTCATGAAACTTGGTGGGTATGTTGGGGAGAGGCTCCAGCAGCTACCCTGCGGGTTTGGAGCCTCTCCCTCAAACCCCCTTCCCTCCAGCCCCCAGAATATACGCTATGTTGTCACCATTGATTTCAAAGACCCATAGGATATAATGGGGCTGAATTCAGATCAGAGAATCTGAATCAGCCCGCAGCAGCCCAAAAGGGGCCCAAATGGCCCCTCTTGGCATCCTCTGAACCGAATGCACATCCCTAGTTGTGAGCGAGTGATTTGGCTGCTGCATAGATTCGTTTGCTCGGGAGCCATCCATCCTGAGCTAAGACAAAAAGATGTGAGCCAGAGGCTAAAAAACTAGTTCACACTAACTCAGCTTAGCCCCATTATATCCTAACTCAGCTGAGCCACGTGTGCCATAAAACGTAATGCCAGGTACCGGGGATAGAAACTGTATAAAGGACAGCAGCTGGTAAGCTCCGAGTTGGTGTATCCTCACTGCAAGGCCCCCTGGGCTGAGAGGGGGTGCAAAGGAAAACCCACGTGGGCAGACTGAAGAGGCCAGCAGTGCAGCACTGGGCAGATGCTCCCACGCTGCATAACTGTCACAGATAAGGTTGTTCCGCAACGCTGAAGCCACAATCAGAGTGGCTCCGCCCACTCCCCTCCCTGAACAGTCTCTTGTTCCCTCCCTTGCTCTAGTTGCTCGTGGACCGTATAAGAGTTGGGGGCGGGCCAGTTCTGGCCCCCGGGCCTTATGTTTGACACCCCTGGTGTGTATATCTCCTCAGTGGTCTTTTGAAGAAATGTGGTTGTTATATGTAGGGGTTGTGGTATTATTTTGTGAGCTGTGCTTGGAAGATTTTTAAAAAATGGGAAGAGTTTCATATGAATATGAAATCAGGGAAACTGTAAACAAACTACAGCACAATGGGCGTAATCTGATCTTCCCATGACCCTAGTTCACTTTGGATCTTGAGACGAGGTTGGCGTTGGGATCCGTGTCCTTAGATAGAAGTGCAGCATCAGGCGTTATTCTCGGCAGGAGCAGCAGCAGAATTTTGATTTTAAATGCCTGTGTGCATTTCTCGAACGAGAGTCCTTTTTATGGAATCTTGGGAATTTACTGTGCTAAGGCTAATTGACTTTTTTCCCTGTACGGGGAACACAGGTGAACACACCTGAAGCTGCCGTATACTGAACCAGACCCTGGGTCCATTGAAGTCAGTATTGCCTACTAAGACTGGCAGCGGCTCTCCGGGGTCTCAGGCCGAGGCCCTTTCACGTCACCTACAACCTCATCCTTTTGTCTGGAGATGCTGGGGATTGAACCTGGGACCTTCTGCAGGCCGAGCAGAGGCTCTGCCAGTGAGCCACGGCCCCGCCCGCCATTTCTGTCCCTGGATCTAACACAGCGATCTCACCATTCCCTTGAGTAGCAATGCACAGGTTGTTTTCCGCCACTGCACGAAGGCTTACCTTCACGGTAGTGTCCTCTGTGGCGAGTAGCAAGAATTTGTAAAGGGAGCCTTTTTCCAGGGAACGGCTGGTGTGGTTGTGCATGATGACCCCTTGGAGACACTCCTTGGAGACACTCTTAGCAGGCCTCGGATGAGCGATAAGGCCAGTTCATGGGGGCCCCTTGTAAGGAATGAAAAGCTGAAGTGGTCACGTGTGGGGCGCATATGCTACCTGAATGGCTTCCCAACCTCTTTCGGAGGCCTGTCTGAAAAATGTTTTTTGGGGGAGTGCCAGACTTTGGCCCCAAG